CAAAAAAAATGCAGAGCTTTGCAGCCCCTAGCCATTGCTTGCTAATGTCCGGATTGTATAGTTCTTTAGACCTCATTCGTGTTCCATGTCATGCTCATCATGTTTTCTTCTCTCAGCAGCCTGTGCTTCTTGGTCATTTTGTTGTTCCTGCTTGGTGAGTATTCCTTCCTTTGGGGGATTCATCAGGCTGTGTTTTCGGGGGGCTTCCGCTCCCTATTTTTGGGGGATTTTCCAGCTGCTGGTCTGAGCCGCGCTTCTGCTCTACGAGTCTTCCCGAAGAGTCCAAGCGCCAAAGACTTGTCTGATTTTAAGCATGTTAATTCTGACTGTTGTCTTCCTGCTGTCCTGATCCTCTCATCCCCAATTTACCATCAATTAATTAGCCAGCCAGCGGAGGATGGGCTTCCCCACTATAGCCAGGTTCCTCCTGAGATTTCTTCTCACTGAGGAGTTTTTTCTCACCACTGTTCGAGGCTTTTTCTCCCTACGGGGAGTTTTTTGCCTGCTATTTGGGGATTAGGGATTAGTCTGGGCTCTGCCCTTTTTCTCTCTGTAAAGCATCTTTGTAACAGCCTGTCTATGAAAAGCGCTATATAAATAAATTGAATTGAATTGAATTGAATTCTACTTATGCTCAACGCATAATAAATTTTTCCCGATTTCACTCGAGTCTCTCCTGATTGAAATATAGAAAGCATGAGACTCAAGCCATATGTGTGAGAGCTGACAGTTATGCGATTTTGAATAACGCTGATTTAAATGCAGCAAATACGCGTCTAGATGAATGATTGTCATCTTACCCAAATGCGGAGAACTAGCAGCACCTGATAGTGTGGAGTGCAGTTCTTGGAGTGAATCTATTGTTTATTTTGAAAGTGATTGAGAATAGGTCAGGACAAATAATTGTTTTAAAGGGATTTTCTCTGCTTCCCCCCTAGCGCCGCCACTGAACCTCTTTTCTTTCACCTTTGAAAAAAAAACGGCATAAGGTAAAGGAAACGAGTAAAGCGTAATTCATAAGAATTTAGGAAGACAAACGTGCTAATAAGAGAATCCGAATGCACTTACACTAGGCAACGTGATCATGCATCTCTCGCCGGTCATGTTCATTTGTTTTTGTGATTGGCCGGATGAATGGCAGTCGCTTTAAATATTGTTGCCACACAGAACTGTGGAATAGCGTTATCTCCTTTCTTTTCGGAAAGAATGGTTCTCTGTACCCTATGCTAAAGGAGGAAAATTAAGAAGCACAGAGACACCTTTTCTTAACATTTAACCCCTTTGCGCAGATTACAAATAACGCCATTTTTCCTGTTGTGCATGAGCCTATTTAACTCCTTCAACCCCACAGCCCTCTACAGAGGGCTGACCAACATATTCTCTTCAACCCCAAATTCCTGTAGGGAAAATTCAAACAATCTGACTAATTGATTGGAACATATCAGGTTACATTTAATGGGATTCCAGAGATAACAGTAAGATACAATGTCCAGATAATGACCAGCCCTCTACAGAGGGCTGTGGGGTTGAAGGGTATAGTGATGCTAGAATATCTGGGGTTGAAAGAGTTAAGGCTGTATACCTCAGTATTAGTGTCATAGAGACTGTGGAAAATTATTCCAGAGAAGCATTTGGAAATTCAATGTGTGTCTTGTCTAGTGTTTATGTTCCTAGCCAGAATGTTGTTTGTTGTGAACTTTTTTGCCAAATAAATGAAAAGTATGTTGAAATTGACAATACCTCCCCTCCTGCTGGATAAAAAAAAAAAAAAAAAAAAAAACATACCGAACCAAACCGAAAACCGTGACACCAAAACCGTGATACAAACCGAACCGTGAATTTTGTGAACCGTTCCACCCCCAGTAGGAACCAATGTTGAAGAACAGCACCCGCACTACACTCACTTCCGTCGATTCAATCAAAATGGCGCTTGCACTGTACATTAATGGTACAAAGGAAAGTTGATCGCCTGATTTAGAAAAAAATCAATTCCGCAGTTTTTGAGAAATAATTTTTAAAATTCCTCAGTCCTATCTTTAACATTGGGGCCAACATTTTCAAAAGCCCAAACTGCTAACTGTGTTTATTGTGCTCTTTTCCAAATAACAACAAAAATGGTTTCCCATTAAGTTTCTGAACACCGGTGCTTAAGTTCTTCAGAAATGTTTTTACTAGAACTTAAGACCAAAATTAACATAAAACAGGTCTAACTCATTATAATTTTATCGTAAATGGGTGTTTTTAAAGACAGTGAGCCCAAATGAAGCCAATCAGTTAATAAATTTCCTTGATTTTTGCAGTGACCATTACCCCTATTTTATGCAATAAAGATAATTTTTCAAGGGAGTTCAAGATGGATATGGAACTCCTCAGGACACGTATGGCTATTTATGACATAATGTGGCTTAAATAATCCCCAAGAACATTAATAGAGTGATTAAGAACAATTAAAAATTTGTTAAAATTCTACTGAGTTGATAAGAAAACCAACATAATGGTAGATTGCCAGAACAGGACTGGGCAGCCCTGCAATAAGACTTTGAACAAAAAAGGTAAGAAGGAAGAAAGAGTGTGAGACAAAGAGTGCAAGACAGACAGAGAGACAGGAGAGGAGTAAGAGGCTTACCTGCTTGAGTCCAGAGAACATGAAGGCATCGCTAGGTTCCACTGACATGTCTACATCCTGCACCAGACTGGTGCGGTTTTGAATGTGGTATTTTACAGGCAGGGACTCCCGCACCCGACCAAATGACGGCAGCTCTACAACCAGACAGATCGGATAATCAGTACAAGACACTACACAGAAGGGGTGCACTCAAAATATCGATACGGCAATGTATCAGAATTACATTATTGACAATCCATGTATTGAGTCAGTGATATTTGTATCAAGGTTTACAACCCCTGGCAAGAATTATGGAATCACCACACTTAGAGGATGTTTATCCAACTTATTTTTACTTCATAGCAAATAAACAAATTACAGATATGACAAAACAGTTTTTGTTTATTAGCTGAACATTCAGTCTTCATGAAATACACCTCAAACAAATTACATACAATTCTTTTAATACATGATAAATTTTTTCATAATAGAGGGAAAAAATGCCATTATTTAAAATAATTTAATCTTATTTGTTTGAGGTGTGTTTCACGAAGCCTGAATATTCAGCCAATGAACACGAATGGTTTTGTGTCACATCTGCGATCGGTTTATTGCATACTGAAATTTTGGACCATTTTCTGATTCCATCAATAGAAAACAGGTTTTACGATGATATAATTTCTCAGGATGACAATGAATTTTTCCACAGAGCAAAGAGAGTAAAAGTTTTTCCTCAGGAAAGGCACACTGACTCCATGACATGGCCAGCAAACAATTCGGATCTCAATCCAGCTGAAAATTTATGATGGAAAAATGGTCCAATACAAGGCCCCATCCTGCAAAGCTGATCTGTCAACTGCCATTTGAAAAAGTTGGAACCAGCTTGATGGAGAGTTTTGTTTTTCATTAGTGAAGTCCATGCCTCAAAGGATTCAGGCAGTCATAAAAGTCAGTTTTGATTTTTTTGTTGATGATTTCATATTTTCCTCAACACTGAGTGACTCAATAATTTTTCCTCTACCTGATCATGAAAAATAAATGCCATTAATTAAAATAAAATAATTCAATCTAATTTGTTCGTGATGTGTTTTGTGAAGCTAATAAACAAAGAATGTTGTGTGTAATATCTTCAATTTGTTTATATGCTATGAAAAAAAAAAGCTGGATAAACATCCTCTAAGTGTGATGATTCCATATTTTTGGCAGTAATTGTACAGTCCTTGCCCAGATGAACAGACTTATATATGGGCAATTTGCTAACTTGCAGATTAAATGCAGTCTGTAATCCAAACAAACTACAAACAATCTAGCACACGCAAATTAAATGCTACAAAAATTCAATTTATCTGGAGTGTCAATCACCTCTGCCCATCATTGCCATTAACAACTGTACAATATATGGAAACATATGGCCGATTATGTTCAAATGCGATTAAAAAATTATTATTATTAGCCAAAATACTCCAGTATTTATTTGGCACTGGATTATGTTAATGTTGACAAATTTTTCTTAAATTTTACAGTTCTATAAAGCACATTTTTATATAAACTATTGTTCAACTTTAACAGCCTGCATGAAAGTTTATTTCCCCCCCCCATGATAAAATTAGCTTATATGCATCATGTATATTGTACTGTGCACGTCACATGTAAAACAATTTCACAAAGCAAAGATGCTTTCAATAAATTAAATGAAAATCAAAGTATCTAAAAGTTTACTATAAAGCTAAATCGGTTAACAGAATCAAATCAGTTGTTACTGTCACCACCAAACGCCTAAATTTGGTGCACTTTCATGTAGTTTATTATAGTTTTAAAAAATTATTTTCTGATGGCTTTCACTGCGCATTTCAGAGAACTTGCCACACTTCTGCAAAGGCCTTTAGGTTGTCCCACTTGCCTGTCTCTTAAGGGTAATCCCAACAGCTTTGATGATGGCTGATCTAGGCTCTAAGAGCTAAACCAATGGCTATTCGCTTTAACAAAACATTAAAAAAATCTGTAAGATTTATTTGTAATCAATGCTTGAAAACCTGAAATGTACTCTTTCCGACAAAAATACAAATAAAGAAAACGAAAAACAAAACTTCTAATACACATAAATATTCAAAGAATCCTAAATGCTTTTGCACAAGAATAAGCATCGCATCGCGGTATGTGTTGTATCGTGACTCCCATTCTGCGATACGGTACCTGCCAATACCCAGCCCTACAAAGCAGCAACACAAAAATCTTGCCTGCTCTCAATGTGCAGTTTTGCTATTGGAAGAAAAGGTTTTTTTTTTTTTTTTTTATTCAAAGTTGATCTCAAAAAACTCCATTGGCTTCCTGTTAGCAGAGGTGATTGGGGCATCACTCCTAGACCTGAACACATTTTATTACTCCTGAAATATATGCGCGATAGTGTAGTGGTTAAGTAGGCTTGACCTGGGATCAAAAGGTCCTGAGGTTCAAGTCCTTGCCGCGGCCTGTGCGGTGTGTTCTTGGGCAACACTTCACTCCCACACTGCCTCGCTCCACCCAGGTGTATGTAAATGGGTACCAGCAAATTGTCAGGGAAACCTGACTAAGAGCTGGGGGAGTACCTATGATGGACTGGCATCCCATCCACTGGGAGTGGCAATACTCCTAGTCGCTTCATGCCGCGGAAACCGGGGTTAAGCACTGGCCTGATGGGCCACTAGGCTTACTCTACTTACTCGGAACAGGCTTACTCTACTTACTCATAAATGATTAAGCAAAATTGCATGTATAAAACTTCAACCTACAAACATCTTAAGCAGGCAACAGTGGGACACTTTATTCCATCTGAATACCAATAAACCGATACATCGACAATTAAATTCAGGGAATGAAATAAGCATTATTCCCATTCACAAGAGCAGACTCCATGTGCCTAATAATTGGCTAAACCTTTTCTCAGGCTCTCATAGATTTCACGCTTATGCACTCACCAGCATGCACGTATAATGGAATTGTCTCTGCAACCACATGAGGGAGGCTGACCACAGTGTGAACGACTGGAACATCCTCACAAGCGGACTTTCTGAAATACAAAACAATATTAAATCCCTGAATTCAGGAATATTTACAATTTCTCAAGCACCCAAATCTTTATTAGGTACTGTGGAGCAGAGACTGTCAGATTTAATTTATGGGTATTTTCATCAATGTAATATGACACATGAAGGAGATAAAGTCCTTGTTGTGCATTGCCTTTGTCCACATACATTGTACACATATCATATATGCAGGGCTCGCAAATTTTTCAAAGAAGTGGCTGCCCTAGGGCCAAGTTACAATAGCATTTTGGTTGCCCTCAAGTTACCTACCTGACCCACCTCAAATCCAGTTTTCAGAATTTTTAGCCCCTACACACGTATTTTCAAAAAAAAAAAAAAAGTGCCCGCTCTGGTTGACAATGACCTGTCAGATTGAGAAGCTTCTTTGCAGCTACTAGGGTTAAAAGTAATTTTTAAGTCGAAGTTCTGAACTCAGCCAGAAATAAATGACATTGTTAAGTTCGAGTGACCAGTTCACGTTGTGGTAGTAAAATTAAAATAGGCTTAGGATTTGTCCACACAATGTCTTGCATGCACAGTATCTTGTGCATATACAGTAAACTATTGAGTGTGCACTCACCAGCCACTTCATTAGGTACACCAGTTCAACAGCTCGTTTACCCAAATATCTGATCTAGTACGTCACATGGCAGCATTTAAGCATGTAGACAAGGTCAAGACGATCTGCTGAAATTCAAACCGAGCATCAGAATGGGGAAAAAGGTAATTTAAATGACTTTGAACATGGCACAGTTGTTGGTGCCAGAGAGGCTGGTCTGAATACTTCAGGAACTGCTGATCTACTGGGATTTTAACGCACAACCATCTCTAGGGTTTACAAAGAATGGTCCAAAAAAAAGAGAAAATATCCAGTGAGCGGCAGTTCTCTGGGCAAAAATGCCTTGTTGATACCAGAGATCAGAGGATAATGGCCAGACTAGTTCAAGCAGATAGAGAGGCAACAGTAACTAAACTAACCACTCGTTACAACTGAAGTATGCAGAGGATAATCTTTGAAAGCATGACACATCAAGCCTTGAAGCAGATGGGCAACAGCAGCAGAAGACCACACCGTGTGCCACTCCTGTAAGCTAAGAACAGGAAACTGAGGCTACAACTTGCAAAGGCTTACCAAAACTGGACAACAGAAGACTGGAAAAATGTTGCCCGATCCAATAAGTATCGATTTCTGCTGTGACATTTGGATGGTAGGGTCAGAATTTGGCATAAACAACATGAAAGCATGGATCCATCCTGCCTTCTATCAACGGTTCAGGCTGGCGGTGGTGGTGCGATTGTGTGGGGGATATTTTCTTGGCACACTCTGGGCCCATTAGTACCAATTGAGCATTGTTTAAATGCTATAACGTTCTTGAGTATTGTTGCTGGCCATATCCATCCCATTATGACCACAGTGTACCAATCTTTTGATGACTACTTCCAGCAGGATAACGCACCATGTCACAAAGCTGAAATCCTCTTAAACTGGTTTCCTGAACATGGCAATGAGTTCAGTGTACTCCAGTGGCCTCCACAGACACCAGATCTCAATCCAATAGAGCACTTCTGGGATGTACTGGAACGGGATATTTGCATCAAGGATGTGCAGCCAACAACTCTGCGGCAACTGCGTGATGCAGTCACGTCAATATGGACCAAAATCTCTCAGGAATGTTTCCAGCACCCTTTTGAAGCTATGCCACAAAGAAATAAGGCAATGCTGAGGGCAAAAGGGGTCCAACCCGGCACTAACAAGGTGTACCAAACGAAGTGGCCGGTGAGTGCATTTAGGAACTGGAGAGGCCGTTACCGCTTCTTTCTACGAGCGACATACGTGATATTTCCACGAACATGAAAGTGTATTTGTAGCGGTTATAGTTGGAATTCTCACTGGAAAGGAAACTGGGTAGGGGGTAGAGTTTGAAATCCTCCGGCAAACATAGTGAATTCTATCTACGGCATGAAGCAGAACCAGAAACAAGCCAGCATTATACGCTAGCAAATTACAGCTTTAAAGTTGGGAATCGGAAAAGCACAATAAGCTTTAAATTAACACACTAGTCTGGGGTGCATTTCCATAATGCTAAGTCGCTAACCGTGTCAGCTACTTAGCTGCATAGTTTGAACCATAGACAGCAGGTTCCAGCTGTGCAAGTAAGCAGTCATGCTTTCGGGAAATACACCCCTGATTACTTTTCTAATTTTCTAAGTTGTGGCAACCGTGGCTACTCGTTGTTGGCAAAGTCTTTCTTTCAGTTTCATTCACGTATTCAAAGCTCACATGAGAGCAAAGCGAGCTAGCGAGTGAACGTTGCCATCATTAGCTGCAACGTAAACTCAGGAAAATAGCTGGTAACCAAATGGAAAATACAAGCGAGATGCCCCCCTTCAGCAACTAGAGACTGGCTGCAGCATACCACCTCAGTGCACATTGACAGACACTCCTGATTTTGTGGCGGGTGAGTTAAAGACTGGTGCCCCCTCAAAAACCCTAGCATTTAAAAAACAACGGTGTGCTAAACTGAAGACAACCCTCAATCAGGCAAAAGCGATCTGGGACCCGCGATATAAACCTTAGGGCCTGCATGGCGGGCATTTGAACATCCTTAGTATCCTGCCTAAGTGTGACCAAATTCACCATCTGATAAGTGACTCGAACATTGACTTTTTATGCTTGTCTGAGACCAGGTTAAACCTGAACTCCCCGATGGCTGGGCTGCACGTACCAGGCTACAATATATTCAGGAATGATTGGGAGGGGAGTAGGGGTGGAGGAGTAATGTTTTATGTATGAGATCATTTAAAGTGCAGTCAAATTGGTCTGATCATCTTACCCATACAAATGTCAATGACAACTGTAATATTTTTATGACTGTGATCCAAGAAACAATGTCTGCATTCATTAAGAAAATTAAAATTAAACCATCGAAAAAGAAGCACCTCCCCTGGCTAAATGAAAATTTATGGTCACTAATGAAAAAAAGAGATCATGCATTAAAAATATCGCTAAAAACTGGTAGGTTAAATGACAGACAGGTATTCACTTCACTTAGAAACAAGGTTGTTAGGGAAATCAGATAAGCAAAAGCAAATTTTTTTTATTAATATAATCAGCAACGCTAAAGGAAATACTAAAGAAATCTGGACAAACATTAAAAAACTGACAGCGAATTACACGGCAATCAAAGAAATTAAGGAGCTACTGATAAAGGGAAAAATAGCTCAGGACCCTAGTGATATTGCAGCTGCTTTAAATGATTACTTCATTGATTCGGTTGATGATTTGCACAGAGCTTCAGCCCTCAGATGCAAAAATTTTCACGTATGCAATTGAATTCTGCTGCACCTATTTTTAATTTATGCATGGTCTCTCAATCACAGGTTGACTAGGGGATTGGTAATCTCAAAAGCTCTAAGGCCAAAGATTCATCTGGTATGGACATTCGGTTTCTGAAAAATCAAAAGGACTCTCTTATAGCTCCACTAACCAGCATTATAAACACCTCGATATTGGAAGGAGTTTTCCCAGACTCCTGGAAGCATTCAGTCATCACTCCGATTCTTAAATCAGGCAATCCCACCATAACTAGCAATTACAGACCCATAAGCATTCTCCCAACTGTTTCTAAGGTAATGGAAAAACTAGTGTCAGAACAAATCATTAAACATTTGGACAACAGTCCGTTTATCCTAAATCCAATGCAATTTGGCTTTAGAAAACACCATTCAACTGAGACGGCTGTTTGCTTCCTCCTGGAAAATCTAAAATCTAAGATAGATGCTGGTGGAGTTGTTGGAGCCGTCTTTATTGATCTGAGAAAAGCATTTGATACTGTTAATCATCATATTTTATTGTCCAAATTATCGTATTTCAACTTTTCTGTGAATGTTATGAGATGGTTTGAATCATATCTCTCAACAAGGACTCAGTGTGTTAGAATACATGACCTGAAATCAGCGTCACGTGACAACAACCTTGGAGTCCCACAAGGATCAGTGTTGGGCCCACTGCTTTTTAGTTTGTTTATTCATGACCTCCCAAGTTGTTGTCCTTCAAATGTAATCTGTCAAATGTATGCAGATAACGCAGTTTTATATGTTTACGCTAAAGACAGTGAGCAAGCTGCCCAGGAATTGACTTATGCCATGACCAAGGTGTATCACTGGCTTGAGAGCTCTCGGTTGCATCTCAACATCTCAAAAACTGTTTGTATGTATTTCTCAAAAAGAGCGAACAATAACAGTGATCCCAACATTTTTGTACAGGGTAAAAAGATCGAGGTAGTTCAAGAATTTAAATACCTAGGTGTTATTTTGGACTCTCAACTTCATTTCAAACAGCAGGTTAAAAGGATTGTGAGTAGAATGAAATTTAACCTGTCCAACTTTAGATTTGTTAGAAACAAC